CCACTCACACCACTGGTCCTGTAGGGCTCATCCATCCTGGATTCCCTGTATTTCCAGTTCCTATCTGTACCAGTGTACCTCCTCTGGTCTAGCCAGGCTTGCAAGGTAGAATTCGAGTCATGGGGTCTTAAGCATTGGTCATCCCCTGATCACCCACTCCCTCCAGAAGGCTTCTCAGCGAGTTCCAGGGCCTGACCGCTCCTGGTACTAGCTTGGAATGGGTACCCCTCCGCACCAGCCTCTGCCCTTTACCAGGCACCACCAACTCACCTCAGCTTCCTTTAAGCGTCGTTCGAACCAGCCTTTAGCTCCATCCATGGAATGTACCTGAGCCTGCAGTTCTTCCACTGTCTGTTGGAGGTTCTCCATGTCCCGTGTGCGGGCCTAGGCGGGACAAGATGGTCACGGCTGGGCAGGCACAGGAATGGGTGCCTCGTTTGCTCTAATCAGTGGCCCATCAGAACAAGTATGGTCCCCAGGTTGTATAGGGGAAAGGGCCTCATCATCATCCACCCGCCCACCTTCTCCTCTCGGATCTGTCCGCGGAGCTCCTCCTCCTGCCGCTTCTTGTCTTCATGTAGCTCTCGGAGCTCCCGCTCATAGCGGGCCCGCACCCCTAGCACCTCCTTCTCATGCCGTAGGAGGACTGCTTCCAGCTCCTCCTTGTGCTGCGACTTCTCCTGCAATGTTTCCATCGCCAGCTCATCCAGCATGGCCTTCCGCTTCTCAGCACTCTGGGAGCCAGGGGGTTGGGACCGGAAGATGGCAGTCAACCGCCTGCCCCACCCCCAACAAAGACCCACCAGCCTCTCCCCACCTGGGCCCAAAGAGCTTGTAAGACTGTATCCTCTCCCTCCCTCAGATAACTAAGCTTCTCACCCAACCTTACCGGCTTTCTTTTCCTTCATATTCCCAGGGATTTTGCAAAGGAAATGGTCCACCCTAGAACAGGGCAACTTTTTTCTTGTCCCATCTCCCTGGATTTGGCCACATCATGTCCCCTGTCCCTACAGACTGGGTCAATCCCTCCACTCCCCAGCCCCACTCGAGTGCCCCACCTTTCGAGCCTCCTGAAGGTCCTGAATCAATTGCTCCTTCTCCTGTCCTAGTTCTTGAAGCTGTTCCAGCAGCCGACTATTGGCCCGTAATGACTCCTGACAAAAGAACAGAGGCAAGAAAGAGCTTCCAACCCACTTCTTCTGATAGACCACCTTCATTAACCTTGCCCCCTTCAGGCCCAGTGGTGTACCGCTGTGGCATGACCACTACCCACTTTCAGGCTGCTGCTGGTTTTCGCAGGGTATGCAGTACGGCAGAGACTCCAGTTGTCCCCTAGCACTAGGACTTTTAGTTGGGCGCGTGTGGTTGTCTAGCTGATGTTGCTCTTGCTCCCTTGCAGTTAGATTTGGCCATGCCACTACTTTCTGTATGCAGAAGTGGGGAGCATAACTTAGGTTGTGCTCTTGAAGAAAAGGGGGGATGCTGTTCCTGTCCCCCTTCCTCCCAGGTGGTCGGGGAATTTGAGCAATCCACTTCGATAAAGAAAGAGAAGTCTTTTGTTGAAGGTGGCCGAATGGCCCTGTAGAAGGAGCTTGGGTCCTTGGTGATTATAAAGCCATCATCCTCTCCCTGGACAACTGAGATGTAGTCAATTAATGTGGTCCTTTTAGCTGCAATCCTCACAATCCCCATTGTGACAGATTACAAATGTGACATAAATGTCTGTGGATAGCCTCTGTTCCATTCAGGAGGGAGTCCTCTGCTGTATTAATAGACAGGATTCAGATGGGATTAAGACTCCACCTTAGTAGAGGGGGTGAACCTTTGTTTCCTTGGGAGGATAGTCTGCTGAAAGACGAAACCACACCTCTATCAAAGCCACACCTTTGTGAGTAAGAGCCATCTACTGTGTTTCCCTGAAAGCAAGACATCCCCCGAAAATAAGACCTACTTACAGTTTTGCCTCTTGCTGAAATATAAGGCATCCCCCGAAAATAAGACTTCCCGAAAATAAGGGTTTGGATTGTTATAATGATGTTCCAGAAGATGATATGACTGTCATTGAATAAATGAGTAAATGTACCATAGATGGTTGTACATGGAAATAATGGTAGTAACAAGAAAGTCTTGATACTGTAGGATTCAGTTTGTCTGGTTATGGTGGTTTGTGATGACAACTACTACCATACCGTATATAGGCAATAAATTTCCTTTTCGTTGTTGTTCAACAATAAATATGTACCGTATTCTTCTTCATGGAAAAATAAGACATCCCCTGAAAATAAGACCTAGCACATCTTTGGGACCAAAAATTAATATAAGACACTCTTATTTTCGGGGAAACAGGGTAAGCAGGGATGCAGAAACATCCCAGGACCACTGGAAGAGAAGCCACCCACTGAGCACGTTCAAAATCTCTGTCTGAAGTGGCGGAAACCGAGACCAGAGGCGCCAGAGGCTGGGGCACAGGGACTATGGGACTGAGCAAAAGCAAGGAAACCAGGAGACAGAACAGAGGAGCAGTGCAGAGGCTATGGGAGTGACTGGTGGGATTCCTGGCTCGCAGAGATCAAAGGACCACCTGGCCGAGAGACTGCGAACTCAGATAGACTCTGCTGCTGGCTGAGGAGAGACATTGCTGTGGACCAATGACTGTATCCTTACTGTTTACTGATCCTGACTTGTGAGTTCTGTGTGACTATTGCAACAGTGTATCAAACCCAACAGAGTGCTGTGCGAGGGAGGAAGGCTTGGTGTCAGAATAAGTAAAGAAAGGGGGAGTAGAAGGGGGAAGGTGTGGAGAGGAGGGGCAGAAGGGGGAACTGACCGTAATGATGACACTTAATAACCTCCCCCCCAGGGGTATGAACAACAGAAACTGTGGGGGAAGGGAGACAGGGGTCAGTGTAAGATATGAAAATAATTTCTAATTTAGCAAGGGGTCATTGGGAGGGGTGGCGAGGAGGGAGGGAAGAAAGAGGAGCTGATACCAAGGGCTCAAATACAAAGTAGATGTTTAGAAAACAATGATGGCAACCTATGTACAAATATGCTTGATACAATTGATTACGGATTGTTATAAGAGGCCACAATAAAATGATCTTTTAATTAAAAAAAAAAGAAAGGTAGAAGGTGAAGAAGACGTCTTACTTCTTTCTGCCTCAGTGGCAATAGGGAAGTCAGAGGCAGCTATGTCCTGTTCCCCTGTGCCCCGCCCCCCTGCCCCCACCTGCCCCAACACCATTTTTCTTTTTCTCAATAGCCTCCCAGGACTTTTATATGGGAGATAGCTCCCTTTCTTTTCTGTTGTTGACTTGTACAGATTAAACTCTCAAGTGACTGGACATTTTTACACAAACAATGGGGGTTGTTGAAAGGGTCAAACTTTCATTCACATTCATTGACCAAGGCACAACCATGCCTACCAGATGAATATGTGTCAGAATAAAACAAGGAGGGCGTTAAAATCATCAACAGATGGGGCACCCTCAACACATTTCTATCTTCTCCGACCCACTGTTATTTTGGTTTCTATTATGGAAATGGGTGCCCTCACTCAGTAAAGTTGAAGAAGTTCAGTCTCATAGAAGTAAAACGACTTGTCCTAAGATACACGTTTGCTGACTGATGCCTAGGCTCTCCTGCCACCACAATCTTCTCATGGTACCTCATGGGCAACTCCACGGACTCAGTAGCAGGGAACTAGGAGAAGACAGACAAGCGTCAAAGATGTCACCTGGAGCTGGGAGTTGAGATCATCTTTCTGTCCCATGAGGTCCTCGTACTCAGCCTGCCGCTGCTGCAACTCAGCTGCTAGCCCGGTAGTCTGTTCCCGGAGCGCATTCAGTTCTTGGGTCTTGGCTGTTTGGATCTGGAAAAAGTGGTGTTGATCGAGCGTGAAGTGAAAGAGGCCCAGAGGCCAAGCACAGGACACGGCCCCCTATTTCCCGGGGGGCAAGCTCAGAGATGGGGGAAAACATCCAAGAGTAGACAGAGAGGATTTCAAAAGAAATAACAGTGAGCGAAAGAGACTGTGGGAATGGGTACCTTGTGGTGTATTCATACAATGGGGTCGTTTCCCAGACAAACCAGGGTGTCTGACTCTAGAGGATGTTAAAGGACAAGCAAAAAAACCCCAAACAAAACAAACAAACAAACAAAAAGGACAAGCAAACTTACTCGATGGTGAGAGAGATCAGAAAGGTGGATACTTCCGCGGTGGGCAGGAGTGACTGGGAAAATGTACAGTGGAATTTTCTAGGGTGGTGGTCACATGGGAACATGTGTACACATGCACACACTCATATAGATACACATCTATGTATATGAACTTATGTGCATATATGTAGCTATGAGGAAACTTCTAAAAGTTCATGGAAATATCCCATTTTTTCCATGAACTTTTACTGCCTCCTTATCTGTATAGGTAGGTATACAGGCATACACATACATGTATGATCTACTGAGCTGTACACTTAGGGTTAGCATACTTCACGCATTTTACTGAAGAAGAAACTGGAATGCAAGAGAAGCAGAGTTGGATGGTTAGAGAAAAATTGGAAATGAAACAAAAAAGTAGAAGAGCACGAGGTCCAGACCCCCCTGCCCCATGAGGTGGACCAGAAATAGAAGGAGGGAGGGGCTGGTGGAGGAATCAGCGAGGGCTCCCAGGGGTCCTGTACCTGCTCCAGGGCAGCCAGGCTAGTCCTCAAGGCACTGTTCTCAGCCAAAAGCCCTTCCACTTGTTCCTGCGCATCTGCACTCTGGATGGACACCTGGCCCCACCCCATAACAGGTGAGAGCAGGCCCGAGAGAGAGACCGGACCCACCAGTAGCTAATAAAGCAAGGAAAGGGACAGACACATACACACAAGACTCGGGGAGCAGGATCCCTGGGGCCTTGCCTGCCTGTATACCACCCACTCACCCACTCGGGCCCTCTTCATGCTCACCCTCACCTCCCTGGGCTCACCCCTACAACGTACCTGATCTTGCAGGGCTCGCAGAGCTGCCGCATGCTCCAGGCGCTCCCCTTGCTGCTGATCTCTCAGTTCTGCCAAGCTCTGTGGGGGACACAGAAGGCGAGGGGAGCCTATTTCAGACCTTAGCCTCCCTTGGATATGTAGATTCACAGAGGCTTCCTCTGTGACCACCCAACAGCATGTCCCTAACACCTGAGGATTCAGACTAAGCAGCCACCAAAGATTTCAGCCTCACCCAGACTCCAGGTCATTACCCCATGGGGCCTCAGACACACTCAGTCCCTTTGCCCCAGCCTTTAGTATATCCCAACATACATACGCTCCAGGCCCTAGCCCCTGGACACTTTAAATTGATCTAACCTCCATCTATAAGAGGTCTCAGGCTCACCCTGATTCCAGATTATTGTTCTTTGGGATTCTCAGATACTCAGGCCCGATAGCAGCAGTTCTCAACCTGTGGGTCGCAAACCCTTTGGGGGTAGAATGACCCTTTCACAGGGGTCGCCCGATTTATCACAGTAGCAAAATGACAGTTATGAAGTAGCAACGAAAATGATTTTATGGTTGGGGGGGGGGATCACCACAACATGAGGAACTGTATGAAAGGGTCACGGCATTAAGAAGGTTGAGAGCCACTGCCCTATAGGCTTAGATTCAATCAGCCCTCAGGACCCCAGAGTTACCCAGACTCCTGACCTCAATCCCCAAGGTTCTCAAAGCCATTCAATTCCCATGTCTCTAGCTCCCAAGAGTCTTGGGCTAATCAAACTCACAATCCCAGACTTTGGAGGTCTCAAAGTCCTACAACCTCCTAGCTTTCAGCTCTTAGTGGGGTTTTAGACTGCCCCTACCCCCCACTGTTCCTGTGACCCCCAGTCTCTGGGGATCTTCATATAACACCCAGATCCTTTGGGTCTCAGTTTTACCTGTATTCTGCCCCCAATCCTCAGGGGGCACCGAGCCCACATGTTTCCAGCTCCTAGGGGCCTTCGATCCACAACTCACCACAGCCTCCATTTCAAGAGATCTATAACTTTCCCCCTTTAGGGAAACACCTAGAGATTTGAACTCATTCAGTCCTCAACCTTCAGGAGCCTTAGCTATATCTGGATTTCTGCTGTAGTCCTTGGAGTCCCAGGCTCCCTAGGTTTTTGTTTCCATCCTCCAGGGTCTCAGGACCACCCAGTTCATGTGATCCCAGTCGCTAGGTGTCTAATATCCAATCCAGCCCCCACACCCTGAGTTTCAAATGTACCCAGCCTCCTGCTTCAAGCTCTCACCTTTGGGAACCTTATAAGTACTCAACTAAGTCCTCAGCCTCTGGGAGTCTCAAGCTTACTGATATCCCTGTCTCTCGTGGTCTCAACAGGAGCCCTGGTGACATAGTGTTTATGTGTTGGGCAGTTCAAAACCACCAGCTGCTCTTCAAGAGAAGGATGGGGCTTTCTACTCCATAAAGAGTTATAGTCTCAAGAACTCACAGGGGCAGTTCGGCCCTGTCCTATAGGATCGCTATGAGTCAGCACTGACTTGAAGGCGTGGGTTTGGTTCGGTAGGGTCTGGAAGTCTTCCAGCCTTCAGGGATTTCAGACTCAACTCAAATCCTGTTCTCAATACACAGTGACAACAGATTTATCTATATTCCTGGCATACAGCCCCCAAGTGTTTTGACCCTAGGGATCTTAGATTCATACAGCAGACTCTTATCCCACCTTGAGGCTATATCTAACTTCCATTTTCCTAGCTTCTTGGGGATCTAAGAAGCTTAGATCCATAATATTTCTAACACAGGAGATTAAAAACTCCCCCAGCAGCCTCTGTGAACCTCAAACCTCCCCCAACTCCTAGCCCTGGAGCCCTACCCCAAGGATCTCAGAAACTGCCCCTCCACCCCCACCTGATTGGCAGCCTCAAGTTCCTGCTGCAGCTTCTGGGTTCGAGCCAGCTGAGCTTTGAGATCAGCTTCCTTCCGCTGTTGTAACTCCTCAATCTTGTTCCTGGAGGGCAGAGCAGGAGGAGGGCGGTTGGGCACAGTGGGCGTAGTTTGAGGTTCTATCTCCCAGTTCTGCCCCAGTGACCTTCGGTTAATTCTGTTGGGTACCGTCCCCCAACAATCCCGATCCTGGCAGTTACCTGCTGTCATTGAATAGTGTCTCTTTCTCTGTCTGCAGGCGGCAAAAACTGGACATAGAAAAATAGACAGATAGGGATCAGTCCTACAAGTTCCCTACCTCCGGTTGTCGTTGCTAGGGGCCGTCGAGTGGGTCTGAATCGTAATGACCCTGTGCACAACAGAAGGAAACACCACCCGGTCCTGCACCGTCCTCACGATTGTTCTCATGTTTGAGCCCATCGTTGCAGCCACGGTGTCCATCCAGCGTGTCCAGGGCCGCCTCTTTCTCACTGCCCCTCTCCTTTACCAAGCACGATGGCCTTTCCCCTTACCTTTTAGTCCTCTAAGACTAGTTCTCCCACTTAAAAAAAAAAAAGAAAATTACCTTTCTTGTTTCTTTTTCAGTTTCTCAGAGAGCTGGAGGCGGGGAGGGGAGGGGGAGAAGGGACAGACAAGTGATGACGATAATACTAATAAAGCCAAAATAAACAATAATCACCATGATTTCTTACTAACTTCCTTCTAGAAGCTAGCTCATGGATGCTTCAAAAGAATGCTGAAAAGTGAGTACTAATGGTTCACAGATGGGAAAACGGAATCTCAGAAGTGTTACATCATTTGCCTGTATATCTGGCTAGTAGCAATGTGATCGCCAGCTCAAAGCCTGGCATTCATGCCCCCCAGAATGCCAACCAAAGGCTACATCATAGGATGGCTAGGTTGGGAGGCCTGAAAAGTACAGCCATGACTGACTACCTCACCATGGGGCCTCCAGTGTTCTATGGATGCTTTGATGACTGACTGACTGACCAAGCAGAGTTGGCAGGAAATAAGGACATGGTGGGATCGAAAGCCACTTTGAGATACAACCGAGTCCCTTCATTTCACACATGAAGAAATTGAGGTTTTGAAGGGGCACTATGTATGCCCTTTCTGCCCTATCAGGAGAAGTGTGGTAGGTGGGGGGTAGGGTGGGGGGTGATGTGGGAAAAAGCTCAAGGAAAACTCCTGGCAGACCCACCTTAGCAAGTTCTTCTTGTAGCCTGGATGTCTCGGCCTGCTTCAAGTTCTACAGGGAAGAACAGGGCTGTTGTCAGCAAGCAGAGGATAAAATCTCTGACCTCCGACCTCCCTCAACCCAGTGACCCCATGAGAAGGCGATGCCACAGACCTCTCCATGGGACCAGCGAGAGGGCTGGCACAAATATTTCCCTGTCTCCCAGCAAACCCAGATTCACCTCCAAGCCTTGCAGTTGCTCCCAGAGCAATCTCTTCTCTTCTTTCTCCATTTCCCATTTCAGCTGTACTTCTGACAGTGGCATGGGGGCTGGGACAGTAGGAGCTGGGCCCCCTGGGAGCTCACCTTGACCCTCGGTGACATCTAGAGACCTCTCGGTCTCTTTCCCATAGCGCTCATGCAGGGCTGGTGGGTAGGACAACAAAATGTGGAGGATGAGTTAGTTTTTCAAGACCCTTGCCATACCTCAAATAGAGGATGAGCTGACCTTTGACCCTTCATGTAACAGAGACTCTTCCCCGTTCAGCTACAAATCAATGGTTCAGCCCCATGTACGCTTCTCACAAAACGTTTTAAGCCCACAACCACTAAGATTCTGCAGATCATCAAATTATCCCACGTTGCTTTTCCAAGCCTCACTCACAGTGTTCCCAGGCCAGGCCCACTGTGCTTCACCCCCTGCAGAAGCTGACTCTCTGCCCTGTTGTTCTCAGTCCTCGAGTTCTTTCCAACTCACTGTGACCCCAGGTGTGCACACTATAACAGGTCCATAGGATTTTCAATGGCATGATCTTTCAGAATTGCTTTTTAAAAATTAATAAATCATTCTACTGGGGGCTCTTACAACTCTTAGCCATTCATCAGCTGTATCAAACACATTTGTACATATATTGCCACCATCATTTGCAAAATATTTTCTTTCTGCTTGAGCCCTTGGTATAAGCTCCTCTTTTTTTCCTCTCCCTCCCCCACATTCCCACCCTCATGGACCCCTGATAAATTATAAATCATTATTTTCATATCTGACACTGTCCGCTGTCTCCCTTTGCCCACATTTCTGTTGTTTGTCCCCGTAGGGGGCTATATGTCAATCACTGTAGTCGGTTTCCTCTTTCTCCCCCTTCACCCCCACCATCCCCCTACCCTCATGGTTTCGCTACTCCCATTACTGTTCCTGAGGGGTTTATCTGCCCCGGATTCCATGTGTTGAGAGTGCTTATCTGTACCAGTGTACATGCTCCGGTCTAGCTGGGTCATGATAGCGGGGAGAGGGCACATGAAAGAACTAGAGGAATGTGTGTTTCATCAGTGCTGTACTGCGCCCTGGCTGACTCGTTCCTGCCGCGTGACCCTTCTGTGAGGGAATGTCCAATTGTCTACAGATGGACTTTGGGTCTCCTCTCCAACCCCCGGCATTTGCATCTATTTGCTTCCTTTGGGTCTTTGATGCCTGGGACCTGATCCCATCGACACCTCATGATCACACAGGCTGGTGTGTTTCTTCCATGTGGGATGGTTGCTTCTCTGTTCGATAGCCGCTTGTTTAACAGAATGGCTCTGATACTCACCTAATTCCCTACCCATAATTCCCTACCAAGCCTCCCTCCTGACCACTTAAAAGTCCTCACACCAGAACCCTGTGACACACTCTCAAGCTTGCTTTCAGCTTTCATCCTCGACCCGACTTCCAGACGTTCCTCCATTGACTTTCTCCACTTCGTAAATATGTCCTTTTCGACATTCCACTTGCCAATCTCTTAGTATTTACTATGTCCCAGGCACGGAATTAAATGCAGAATGATACTATCTCTTGTCTCTACTACAATTTGCTCTGTTGCCCAACTGAACTTTGGCCCAGAGAGTTGAAATAGCCTGTCCAAAGTCACACACTGGTTCATGCTCGGGCCAAGCCTGATTCTGAAGCTCCTCCCTTTCTCTGGGGGTGGAGGTCGGGGTGGGGGGCAGCGGGCACCCCCCTTGAGCTATTCAAGCCCCGAGGTCCCCGCCTCCCCGGAGGGCCTTGGAGCACCTGCCACATTCTTCTGTAAGGCTGTGTTCTCGGCTTGCAGTCTCAGCAGCTCCCCGTCCACAAGGCTCCCGACTTGAGCAGCCCCTTCCCTGGCAGCGCCATCCTTCAGTTGCTGGTTCTCCCACTCAAGCTGTTCCATCTGGCTGCAGAGCTGAGCAGAGAAGAGGAGGGAATCAGTACAATGGTCTCACAAACCTACACCCCGCTCGGCACACTTCCTTTCCATAATCGCCCTGGCAGACAGGTGCTGGCACTATCCTCCCTTTATGAGTAAGGGCACTGAAGTGCAGAGATGGTAAGCAACTCTAAATTCGCACCCCTGATCAGTGACAGAATGAAAGAGGAGGAGGATACTGAGAACAACTTCCCCTTCACCCTCTCCCAACTTTAAAGACCTTGGGCTGCTCTGCGAGTTCCCTCGACAAGACATAACAGACAGGCCCATCACTAGCCCAGCACTGTGGAGAGGCGTATGGCCTGCATTCTCGGCTCAGGGACAGATCCCTCTTAGCCCAGGTACCATCAACAGCTCTCAGGGGATTTCTAGGATCAGCATTGCTGACAGCCTTTGGCCTGGGAAAGGTGGGCAATACAAAGAAATCTAAAACCGGCTTTGCTGAGCTCCTGACTCACGGCAGCCCTGAGAAGTTCCCAAGTCTCCATGTTCACGCGAGAACACTAAGGCCTACAGAGAATGTTTACTTGATTGTCTGGGCTATTCTTCTACCAAGAATACGATTCCTTTCTTCCAGCTCTTCGTGACTGGCTTCTTTGCAGACTTCAAGATTCTGCTCAAATGTCCTCCTCCATTTGTTTCGATTTTATCTAGTGTTTAGCACAATGAAGATGCATACTGGGTTGCACACTGCGCTGCTAACCGTGACGTCAGCAGTTTGATTTCACTAGCTGGTCAGCAGGAGAGAGATGAGACCATCTCCTCCTGTAAAGAATGACAGCCCCAGAAAACCCAAGGAGCAACTCTCCTCTGCTCCAAAGGGTTGCTATGGGTCAGAGTTGACGTGATGGCAGTAGTTTTCGGTTTGGTTAGCACGATGGAATTGTATTTTGCAACATAAGAGTACAAGCAAAGATTCTAAACCCAGGCTGCTTGGACGTGGACTTAGACTCTGCCCCTTACTAGCTATGTGACCTTGGAACAAGGAACTTAATTTCATGGAGGCTCCATTTTTCCACACGTTAAGTGTTGTCAACTGCCATCAAGTCAGCAGCTGATGCATGGCAACTCCAATACACAACAGAACAAAACACTCCAATGGATCTGGGCCCTCCCTGTGATTGGTTGGAAACAGAACTATTGTGTTCCATAGGGTTTTCACTGGGTAATTTTTCAAAAGTAGATTGCCAGGCCTTTCTTCCTAGTCAGATTTAGTCTAGAAGCTAGCTGAAACTTGTTACGCATCATAGCAATGTGCAAGCCTTCACTTAAAGAGAGGTGGTGGTTGGGAAGAGAACCCCAGACTCCTCATGGAAGGCACAAATTCTACCACTGAATCATCAATGCCCACTCATCTGTTAAACAGTGATACAAATACAAATGAACTATCTTATAGGATGAAACACATTACAAATGTAAGTACTTCAAACAAGCCCTGGCACACAGTAACTGCTACGTACATGTTAGCTGTTGTCATGAGTGGGAATCGGCAGCAGCAGATCTGGATTTTGGTTTATCACTACGATTACTAGTTGGTTTTAGTTTGTTTGCTTGTTACTTTGCTATCTTCCCATAGAATGAGAGTCACCTCAGAGAGGGCACCAGTCTATGCAATTTACAACTGCATTTCCAAAACCAGGAACACAGTGTGTGCTTATTAGCTACTTATTGACGGCATATCTGAGCTGAAATGTCTTGGCAAACGAGTGCTTGGGCCAGGACTTGAACTCAAGTGCCTCAAGAAGTACTTCCGGTGCCTGAAAGCAGGAGAAGAGAGAATATGAAGGTCTCTACACCTGATTCAGTGCCTGGCAAAAGGGCACCAGCTGGTTACTGCCAAGTCCATTCCAAAACTCATGGTGATCTCATGTGTGTCACAGTAAATTTGCTCCGTAGAGTTTTCCAATGGCTGTTGTTTCAGAAATAAATTGTCAGGCTTTTCTTCTGAGGTGCCTCTTGGTGGGTTCTGGCCACCAACCATCTGATAGCAGCTGAATGCATTCATTAACTGTTCGGACTATCGGGGGCTCCTGGCACCCAGCGTGTGTGCCAGGAAAAATAAGCTAACCTTGGGGATTAATGCCTGCCCCTGTCCTGCCCCACCCCACAAGAAGCATGACACCATCAAATCTGGAGGCAGTGGGGAGTAAGGTTGGAAGGGCAGCTGTGATATGAGCAACAGAAGCTCTAAACTGTAATAGACAGGGAACCACACAGAAAGGTACAGCTTAAGGAGTGATGTGGTGAGACTTGTAGGTTAGAAGAACCCTTGTGGCATGGACTGTTAGTGGAAGCTGTAAGTGAGAAGACCAGAGGAGAATAGAGCATGTAGGATGTGGTAAAGGCGGAGGCAGGACAGGATCCCTGCCTGGATAAATACCAAACTTTCTAAAAGTCAAGAAACGCTGTAGAGGGGAAACAACTTAATAAAGGGATATTAGTAGCTGATACTGTGAGGTCCTGCTCTAAGTGATTTATATACATTTACAACTTAATCCCCACACAAGTCTTTTGAAGCATGTGCTGTTATTAGCATCATTTCCAATTTAAACATTTAGAAACCACGAAGCAGGTAGGTGAAGTCAATTGCTTAAGGTTACAGTTTATGAAAGGCATAGCTAAGATTTTTTATCTAGGTCTTCTGGCTCCAGAGTCCTCTCAACTACTACTTGCTACACTGTTTCTCTTGTATCTATTTATTTATTTATGCCTTGTGTGTTTTTGTTTTTCAAGCTCTGCTATTCTATATTCTCAGGTGGAGCTGTGAATTTACTATTTTTATTGCCAGGAGTATTCCCCCATCCTCCCTGAGAGCCTCCTAAGACCTTAGAAGATGATTAACGAAGGAGTCAGAAGATGGATAAGGGAACCAAAGTCTCCAATTGTCCAGGAGGTTTAGAAACTGTCTGGACACAGAAGTCAGTAAGCAGACAGAATGATCTGGCTCAGGAAGAATCGTCTGAAAAGAGGTAGAATCCCAGGATCATGTCCGATAAGTGTGGAGGAAAAGAGAAGTAGCTCAAGCACCTTTCTATCCCATATTAAGTGCAAGAACTTGACCTAAGACCGCCCCCCCCCCCCAGGAATCTATAGCATCGGCCCCAAATCATACAAAAATGAGACTTGAAGCTCAAAGAAAATGAGTCACTTGGCCAGGAGCCACCTGACCTCATGTCTTGAAGCCTTCTAATTCCAGCAGAGAGAGTGGTCCCATCTGTCAAATCCCTGCCCCCTAGCAGCAACCCAGGAATGGTTTCAGCACCACGGACAGTGGTCCCGGCCCAGCCTCTGCCCAGCCCATCTTCGGCTGCCCTTTGGTTTCAGCCCAGGTGGCCCCTAGCCCTTGGCTACCCATGGCACCATCACCTTGCTGAACTCAGCCATAAGCGTGCTATTCTGCAAACGGAAGTCCTCCTCCTGGCTGTGCAGCTTTGCCTGCAGCATCTCGTTTTCACTCAGCAGTCCTTCGACTTCCTGCAGTGGCAAGCACACCCGAGTCAGGGTTCCAACTAGGGTAGAAAGTATGGGGAAGGGGGCAAAGAAACAGCAACAAGGTAGAAAAAGACATGGGGTAGGGGGAGGACAAAGGGTGCATAGAATGAGATGTGGAAATGAAGAGGTGAGGGGGAAAAGAGTGACAGAGGAAAGAATACAGGTGTGACAAAGAGGAGAGGCCACCATGCAATGCAGTGAGACAGTGGAAGGTGGAAAGAAAGATAAGAGAGGGAGAGGGTTTCAGGAGAAAGGGGGGGGTGGAGAGGAAGAAGAACAGAGAGCAATAAGGGTGGAGATAAGAAGAGGGAGTGATTGGGAGGAGAGGGATAGGAATGGAATAGAAAACATATAGAGAGATGGAGAGAAGGGATGTGGAGGGAGAGGGAAAAAAAGGGCAGAGAGAAATGAGCCATGAGAGAGCATCCGAGAGAGAATAGACTAAAGAGAGAAGAGAAGGATCATGGAAATAAATGAGTCAGGAAGAGATAGAAGAATGGAGGGGAGGGGGAGAAATAAAGGGAGAGAAAGAAAAAGACAAGAGAAATGATGACAGAAATAGAAATGAAGATGGAGGAGAAACAAAAAGAAGGTTGGAAAGAGAAACAAGAGACAGAGATAGAGAGAGGTTCTGAGAAGGGAGAATTAAAATTACAAAGAGCTACGCAGAGAGCGAGACAGTGATAGTGAGCCAGTAACAGTAATTAGAGGGATTAGCAGTGAGGTGGTGAGATAGACAGATGGGCACACACACACACACACACACACACACACACACACACACACAGAGGGAGGGAGGGAGAGAGAGAGAGAGAGAGAGAAAGCAAGCTCAGCATAAAGAGAGGTTAGCATACAGACAGTCTCCCAGACACACTCAGCCACCATGGGGATTCTTACCTGAGCTTTCTTGCTCTTGCTCAGTGCCTAAAGGGCAGGGGATTGAAAAAGAGACACAAGAAACAGGGTATAGAGAGAATTATGACAAGGGGGGCGGGGACGATGATAGGTGTTGAAAGATGAAAGTCTTCAATCACAGAACTTGTGTGATGATTTGGAGCCCAAAGGAATGATGGGAAAAATGAATACATGAACAAGTGATGGAAAGGGGATTCTGCCTTGGTGCCCCCAACCCAAAAAAACCCCTCACTGCCATCAAGTCCATTTCAACTCACAGCCATCCTATAGGACAGGGTAGAACTGCCCATGTGGGTTTCTGAGACTGCATCTCTGTACAGGAGTAGAAAGCCTCACCTTTTCCTATGGAGCAGCTGGTAGTTTCGAACTGCTGACCTTGCAGTTAGCAGCCCAATGTGTAACCACTATGCCACCAGGGTTCCTCCTCTGGAACCCCAGCACACAGAAATCATATTTTCCTCTAAATTCTTAAGGTCCTTTATGGACTGCATCTGGACTCAGAAATGGTGACCCCATTGCTACTTCTGTCCAAATAGTCTATTACAGATCCCTCCCATGCAATCTGGAAACTGTTGCTCCCCTGCTGTCTAGCCTACAGCATGGCTAGACTTCAGGAATCAGTTATTTTCCCAAAGAGAAGCCCAGCTTTCCTGATAGTGAGATTTTCTGTATTCTTTGATTCAACAAATATTTATTGAGCACATACTACATTGTACCACACATGGGGGCAGAGCAGTGATGAAAGGAGACAAAGAGCAGCCTTGAATGTCTTGAAAGGTCATAACAGGTTATGTTCAAGGTCATCTTTACAGGATCTGAGAGGTAAGGAGCCTAGTCTTGAACAATTGAGCAGGCATACCTAAAAATATTGCCAGTTCAGTTCCAGACCACTGCAATAAGGTGAGTATCACAGCAAACATAGATGTTTTGATTTCCCGGGGGTTATGAAGTTAAATGTACATGATGCTATAGCCTACTAGGGAGGAAGACGGGGGTGGGGTGGGGGTGGGGTAGGGGTGACTTTCTATGCATGTAAGGAGCTCCAGGCTCAGAAACCCACAGGAGCAGTTTTACCTACAGGATTGCTGTGAGTCGGAATTGACTCAATGGCAGTGAGTTTGGTTTTAGTTTGCTAGGCTATTAAGTGTGCAACAGCATTATAAAAAGGTTTGCAAGACCGTGAGAAGTACCAAAATGTGATATGAAGTGAGCCCATGCTGTTAGGAAAAATGGCACCAATAAAGTTGATTGACCCAGGGTTTCTACAAACCGCCCATTTCTTGCAAATGCACTCCCTACCGAGTATAATACAATGAAGCAACATAAAACGAGGTGTGCCTCTACCTGGACAGGGCTGGAAGGTGGGTGGATAGTGGGGGCAGATTCAAGGACGATTTACTGGTAGATTTGACCATTTAACTAGGAGCCCTGGTGGCATAGTGGTTACGAGTTAGGCTGTTAATCACAAGGTCATTTCAGTCTTGGAAACTCACCGGGGCCAGTTCTACCCTGTCTTATAGGGTGGCTATAAGTTGGCATTGACTTGATGGCAATGAGTTTGGGGTTTTGGTTCTTGCTCATTTAACTAGAAGTCTGTGCATGAGAATGGCTAAGTAAAAATTAAGAGTGAATTAAAATTCATCAAGAAATTAAGCAGAGTTCGGGAAACTTAGCTTTCCATGTGATTTTGTTAAATGACAGCATGAAATAGCATGTAACAGTAGGCCTGGCTCAGTGTGGGTGCTCGATGCAGAAAGAAATGAGTCAGAAGATGGGGAGAGGGAATGATGGAGGGAAGTACCTTCTGAGCTTTGGCGAACTCCTTGTCCAGGTAGGCGACCTTCTGTCGAAGGCTGGTGAGCTCTAGTGATGGGAAAGCAGAGAGTACCAGCCCCAGTCAGTGGCAAGGAACTGAAAAGTCCCTCTACTAGGCCTATGAGCATAAAAACCTTGGCTGATGTACCCCCAGGGTACCCCCATCTAATGGGACTCCCTTGGCTCACCAACACCATTCTTCCGGAGTTCATCTGAAAGCTGATAGTTGTTTGTCCGGAGTTCCAGGAGCTGAGCCTTTGGGAGAAGCAGGGAAGGAAAAAGATTTGAGTCAGGAATGTCCTTGGGCCTACTTGGGCCATGAGGAAATTAAGCCCGGGAATCCCATGGACCCTGCTACTCTCCATGTGTCTCTAGCTACTCCATTCAGACCTACGCACACTGCATCCTAAATGAGGTCGTCAGCCTTCAGCTCCCGTTCCATCTTCTCCAACTCCAATGTGTAATAACCCTGGCCAGGTTCATTGCTCCAGCTTCCTGCTGCCTCCAACTCTCCCCCAATTCACTCTATACTCAGGGGTATCCCAGGGTGTTTGCTAATGGTCCACGTTCGCCCAGTCAAGGTCTTGCTCATGTGCATTCTGTAGCTCTCCATGTCCATAGCATCAAATTCCTCTTCCTTTTCTTGCTCTTTGCACAATAAATGCTGTTCTTTGTCAGGAGTGCGTGTTATGCATCCTCCTGATCAGACCTCGAGGCCCTGAGGGTGAGTGGGGGCAAGGGCCTACTGTCCTCTTTTCCAAAGGAAGATGGCTTGGTAGTTCCCTGCTCAACCTTCACTGAATCAAAGCGCTGCCCTCCCCTCAACCCATGAAAAACAAACCCAGGCCTCCTTCACGAATAAAGGAGAGAGAAATACAGGCTACTCACATCAGCACGTCTCTCCCTACTAGATTTGAAGGCTCTGGGGTCAGTTCTTCCCAGACCCACTGTCCCTTACTCTACCTACCAGGACCTTCCTCTCCTTCGCCCTCTCATAGCACCAGCACCCTTGGTGGTGGCTCAAGGCCCGAGAGCCTGGATTCTAGAAAATCATCCCTACCCCTGTGCTCTCCGGGGCCCAGTGATCTAGCTCCTGCAGATTGGGTCCAGTTGGAATGCCCAGACCCTCTGCACAATTTGAGACTGCCTCCCCATCAGGCTCCAATAGTTTTCCCTCACTCAGGGCCCCAGGATTGATCAGTCTTCGTCACTCAAGGCTCCTCCATGCCCCTCAAGCTCTTCCCAGTTCCAATGGGATCGAATTACTCCCTTTGCGAGTCTCTCCTTCACAAGGCCGGGGGTGGGCCAGCTGGATTACTTTTACCCACTTAGATTCTCCCCCACATAGGTTACATAGGAAACCATTCATGACCCATTGGTTTTACCCTCAGACGCCCTCACAACGAAGACAACTGGAGTGTCTCATATAAAGATCCATGGGGGATAAAGAGAAATAAAGATCCATGGGATTACCCTTCCTTACTAGGAGTTCCTCCTTCTCCCGACGGGAGAAAAACTCAAGTTTTCCTGCTTGTGGTCCAAGTGCTTTCCTCTCTTAGTCTCCCCATATAGTCAATTCAGTAGTCACTGCCAATGAAAAACTTCCTCAACAAGGGCCTCCTCCCGGTAAGTACTATGCTACCCTTCATCCCCTCTGGGGGCACTCGCCCCCTACCTCCGTCTGCGGTGGGGGGTGGGGGGCATGTGGTCAGGGTAGCACCTCAAGGCGCTTCCCAAAGAGTTCTGTAATTTCCCCCAAATGAGATCCAAAGGCTAAACTTTGGCATCCCCTCTGGTCCTCCCCCCAAAGAAGACTAATGGCGTTACCTATTCAGAACCTTCTTTATCGCAGGCCTAATGAGATCACCCCTGATGGACCCACTACCAGCACTCACACAGGATCTCCACCTCCCGAGAACAATTACAGCACCTGGAGCCTGTCCCCACGCCCGTGATATAGTGGTATCTCCCAGAAAACTGTCCACCTCCCATCGGCTAATGGTACTGCCCTTTGAAGGGCTCCCCCGTCGTGACGCAAACGATGCAATGCCCGCTTCCTTCCTCTCTAAATTAAAATGGTTTCGCCCTCTAAGGATGTCCTTCCTGCAAAGCCTAACATAGCCCGATCGTGGTGCCCCTCACTCGAGCCCAGAGGTTCTGTCCCTCCCCGGCCCGAGTAAGGTCTCTCCCACTCAAGAGCCGTCCTTCCGTCCAGGGCCAACTAAATCCAAACCTTTAGAACCCAATGGAATCTCAGAATGCAATAATAGTCTCACGACTCAGAACCTCCGCTTTCCTTCTCGCGATCAATCCCATTGAGAGGGGTCATTCCAACCAACCCCCTTCTACTCCGCCCCCCAGTCCACTAGTCCGGGGGTCTCTCCCCTGCAAGCGGCACCTGCATTCGCTGAAACTCCTCCTCAGACAGAGCTTGCGCCATGTTCCTCCCCCCCAACACCTTTCTGCGCAGACGCAAATCCGGTCTCCTGTCAGGCTGAGGATCGGAGCAAACCACTGGCCACTAACGGAGGAGGTAGGGCCCAATCCGGAAGCTCAGCATTTTGGAGAAGAAGAGAAGAGAACACAATGAACGAGTCAGGTGAATTATAGTGTAATGTTTTACAAGAATCTAGGCCACCTTGTCCAGCTTTTGAACTCACTTAGACCGTTCGTTGTGGTGCGGCATTATGGCATCCCTGTCTGATGGGTGGACTCGCCACAGGGAAGTGTACGCCGACAGAAAATCGCCCTTCGAGATACTCCTTTAATGAGAATAGGTGACAGAATAGCCAAAGAAATGAAAGCGGAAGCTTTGTGTTCCTTTCATTCGGCCCTCCTCCGAGTGACCCCAAAGGGGAATCCCGGGGCTTCTGAAACGCGTGGCTTTTCTCCCCCCCACCCCGCCCCCAAAATTAACGCTGGCTTTATTAATATCATGTTTACATCATGTAAAGGACCTAGCCACCACTAAATTTAAAATACCAGAGAGAAAAGAATGACAGTGACACAAAACGAACAAGCTTCATTTTAAAAAATCAAAATGGTAAAACTCCAGGAATTTCAAATAAGTGTTGAAATGTATTACAACATTTATTACAAATGTATTACAATGTATTTCGTAGGCTTTCCTGCCTTCTCGGTGAACCCCACTACTCAAGCAGTAAACTTTCATTTGGGGAAAAAAAAAACTACGGGCAACATTTCAGTAATAGGGTAATTCCATTTCCTTTATGTGTGTGTATGTGTGGTCGTTTAATTTTGACATTTCAAACGGACAGAAAAGTTGCCAGATGGGTGCAAGGAAATCCTAAGTGTCCTTTGTCCAGATTAATCCGTCGTCTCCATTTTGCCACATTTGCTTTTTCACGCTACCCATAAAAGGTTTCGAACCACTGGCTTCCGTATCCTTTGATGATTTTCTAACATTAATATTCTTTTGCTATTTATTTGTTGCTACTCTCAGGAGGACTGGTGGAGCAATGATAAAGAGGCTCAGCTGCTAACCCCAAAAGTTTGGTCAGTAGAACCCCCCAACCGCCCTGCAGGAGGCAGCCTGCTTCTGTAAAAAAATGTTTGAAACATTGTTACTGTGGTTCGGGTGAAAGTTACCGAGCACATATGTTTCTCATCCAGCAATGTATATACAGTGAACCCTCGCCACTTCGCGCTTCGACTTCCGCGGTTTCACTCTATCACGGTTTTTGGGTAACAGCGCATGCTCTGTCATTACTGCCACTGATTGGCTCATACTGTACATGCTTGATGCCATAAATAATATAATAAATAATAAATGATAATTGT